ACTGTTACCAGTGTAACCTTGGTTTAGAAGAAACAGCTTTCCACGCCTTCTACCATTGTCCTCAGGTACTCCCTTTCTGGGACTATATCGGCGAGATGATCCTGATTAACTTGTGCTAATTAATACCGCATACGCGTGCGACATTCTGAGGTGAAACGAATAGTGTTTCTAAAGTTGCTAGCCGTGGCAAGAATGGTGATCTGGATGACGTGAAAGGAGGGTATCTTGCGACACGAACGCTATTCTCATCAGGCTCTGACTGTAACTGATAGAAAGCGTTTGGTGTCTACAGATTTCAACGAAAGGTGGGTGAAAGTAGTGAGCTTGGTTCATGTGAAAGGGGCTATCCTTGAAATCCTTTTTTTAAGTCCTCTTCGTCACAACGGGGCGGTTTGATGTGAACCCCCCCTGGTTACGTTAGACTCTCTTTTGTGTACTTAGTTAATGTGAGTGAGTGTTGTTCCTAGTTTATTCCTCATTTCTACTTTTGGTTATGATCCAAGTTGAGATTCGCAACCTCCCCAGTTTGTTTTCGTCCCCGTTTTTCATTTAATTTATCCTTCCCATTCCGTTAGAGAATTAACTTCTTGATTCTGTCTGATGAGAGAATACAGCGGTAAATTTTGTGGGATCGACGGTCCAACTAACATCTGTTATTTTCTGCTTGACATTTGTTACATGTTGCTTGTAATTGGGATTCATACCCCATATAATCTTCATATATATATATATATATATATATATATATATATATATATATATATATATATATATATTTTACGAACATTTGTACCTAAGAAACTTTTTTAAATCATGGGGTTTATTTTGTAGGTTCCTTTGTGTATTGGTTACTGTGGTATATGTAGGAGTAAAAGGTGAAGGATGTCTTCTTTTGGTAGATGTGTTATTTGTATAGAATGAAATGGTCGTGAATCGGATTAGCTAGGTATAGGATAGTTAATGATGACCAGCCTCACCCAACCCCCCACTTTTTTGACCATGTGCCGCAATTATTTTATTTTACAATAATAAATATTTACATCCTTAGCAAAGCAGCTTCTCTTCCTTGCGCAATTGTGTGCCCATGTTCACGGCTTCGTTAGACATCTTGGTTAACCTATGTCTACCTGACCCTGTTAGCGCTCTCGAATGTGTGAATCCTGCCGAAGTGCGCATAAGAGCGTCTACTAAAAGATGGATATCCACTAAAAATAACGTTAAATAATATATATATATATATATATATATATATATATATATATATATATATAATGGGCTAATGAAAATTCATTGTCCCAATTCCAGAATAAATTCTTATCTTTGGTCAGGTTTTAAGATTCGGCTCAGAGCAAGAACTTTTCAGCACCTCATCAATGTGAAAATGGGCGGCGCAGACATAATTTAAAATGAGTATTGTTCTTAAAAGAGACATGAAAGAATAAAGCAGATCTCTTTTGTCTCCAATGAAATATGCCGAACCATGTGCTGATTATTATTATTATTATTATTATTATTATTATTATTATTATTTCTTGTGGTTTTTCTTGTATGCACATTTCTTTTTTGGTCCCAACCAAAGACAAAAGGTCAGAAATTGCTTCATTATATTTTCTGCTAATCATTTTCTGTAAAAATGAAACAAACTAAAATCACACACATTTTACATAGATAAAGCCCGTCTTTTTCTTTCAGGCGTGGCCTACCAGGAATCCTTTCAGTGAGTTCATCGGACCCTTTTTCAATCAATCCGAGATCTCCAAACTACAAATGGAAATATTGACGTCCTTATAGGCCACACTTTTGAGATTTCTTGTATTTTGATTGTTATTGTTATTATCATTTGTGTATGTTATATTTCCTGCTTTGTATCCTATAGAGCCGGGTCCAAACTATGGTCCTTACGCCCTATTGGAGAATTGTCATTTAATTGATAGCACTTTTCTTAGTATATCGGATGTTCCTAGTAGGGCAATCTTCTGGGAAACTTTTATGTTGATGTTACCTCAGACACTGTTAGTAAAATTGTCCATTCCTTTTCTGACGAGGCCTAGTGCTCTGATTACTATTGGTACAGTCTCAGTCTTCATTCCTCACATCCTGTTTATCTCGATCTCCAGGTCCTTGTATTTGGGTAATTTCTCGATAATTTTCATGGAGGTGTTTCTTTCAGATAGCACTGCTATGTTGATAAGCATACACTTCCAGAATTTCTTCTCTTTTATTATTATTGTTGTTATAATAATAATAATAATTATTAGTATTATTAGACGATTGTAAATATATGCGGACATCAATTTCAAATAGAACAGTGGGACTAACAATTTAGAAGCTGAAGTAATTGCGTTCTGTAAATAGCAGTTCAGTAATTGGCAGGACAAATCTCATTTAAAGCCAGGATGATAAATCTTTCCAAAGAAAGCCAAAACCATCTGTTCTATTGAGAGAATAGATATTAGACAGAAATTTATCAGAAAAGACTGTTGAATAGAAACGATTTTGTTATATCCGTCGTCATACTTTTCTGTTTATATTTTTGAATGCATCAAATTATCCCACAACCTACGAACATCTGTTAAAAAAATAATGACTGTTCTTTAATTCCAACAGATTTAATAGGTAATTGAATGATTTTTTGTTAAGGTTTATCAACCCTTTATACGTTATCTATAACCGAAACATATTTTGGATTTGAAGAATAATTCTTTTGCGAATGAATATTAATATTTTCTTTTTTTGAGAATAACAATGATTTTTCCAGATACATGTTCTACTAGTTAACCCATAGCTATTCAGGGTGGAGTAGGATTCATGCCTTTCCTAAGGATTCCTAAGAATATTTGCGTGTAAGTTAATGTAACGAACCCAACTGGAATTTGAACTCGGCTCTCATTCCGAGCCGCTAATCGTTGGATAACACAAAACATGCCAAAATGAATGCAAATATCCCAGGACTGTAAATCTAATTCTCATTATAATCTCCTTCTTTTAGTCTATTTACATTGTTCATCTTTCTAGTCATATTCTGTAACACTCTATCTTGAGTGGCTCTCGGGCCTTTTGCAGGGTGAAAATCAATGTAAAAACACAAGACCGAAAGTATGGGGCACCAGAACTCACTACTCAAACATAATTGATCTAGACAAGCTTGCTCACCATTTACAGCACGTCGAGTTGTCCATATGATTTTCTAAGCGTAGCTTAGATGTAGCACAAGGTCGAAAGTGTGGCACAAGGCCAGTAAAGACCGAATTCACTATTCAGTCGTAATTGATATAACGAGACAAGCTTGCTAACCATCACACCACGTCGAGTGACCCAAATTTCCAAGGAATATGTGACAGGTTGTACTTAAATTAGCGAGTAATCTCTTGTTATTCATGATGACGGTCGTCTTCGAGTATAGAATCCAGAGGTTAGCAGTGAATATTTCGAAGACAGTAGGAAAGCCTTGTTCAGGTTAGCAGTGGATTTGGTAAAAGGTAGCAGAGCATAGTTCGTCCTTCTGTTATAACTTCGCCTGAGAAGCTGGACTGGACATTCGGGTAGAGTGAACAAAATGGCCGCCTTTATACACGACGGATTGAATATTCTACGTCTTCTGATTGGTTAACCTTATATTGGTGGACTATAAAGTGAGTCAAGTCATTTTGACTAGCTCACTAGTTACATAACATATACACAAAAGACTGCAACATCTCTGACCTGACTGGGTATTGTGGGTTCATGCCTTTGAAAAGAGCAACAAGGAAAAAACCGTAATTTGAAAATCCTCTTCTTCTTTATGTTCCCTGTTTCATCAGCACGTAGGCGATAATGGTTCTCCACAATTTTCTTTTGTAGCTCTTAATAAATTTTGTCTTTCTGTTATTTCTCCCAAAAGCTGTTTCGCTATCCATCTACCCAAGCTCACTAAGCTTGTTATGCGTTATTCTTCTCTGACCCTCTATCTGTCCCGTGAGTATCATATTTTCCAAGCCCTCTTTCCTCATTATGCGCTCTAGAAACCTCAGCTGTCTCTTCTTGATGTTAAGTATAAGTTTCCTTTTTGCTTCCATTTTTGCTAAAACTTCGTTGCTCACATATTCTGTCCATAGTATTCTCAGTATCCTTCTGTAGAACAACATATTTCTTGTTTCAAGTTTCTTCTTCATCTTTGAGGAGATTGTCCATCATTCGCTGTCATATCGGAGGACTGATATCACGTAACAGTTCAGCATCCCAATGCATCTTCGGATCTCAGTGTCACACTTTCTGTCCTCTTCAAATACCTTTTACTTGTTCGCTCACCAATTCAATTTTCTATTTTGTTAACCCACACTTCTGCACATGCGTATAGATATAATAAAATTCCGATTTTTTCCTACCTAAAATTTAGGTCATAAAAAGTGTTTTTGTATATTCAGAATTTTAAATTTAAATATTTTTTCTGTGTGCCTGCATAAATAGCGGTTCTAATTTTCGTAACGTGCAGGAAATGGTGGTATCAAAGATTGCAGACACCATTTGGAAACTAATTTTGGTTTTCGAGAGCCTGGAGAGAAAAAAAAATTCTGCACTCGTCAACCACGAATCTTGTTCTATTATAACTGGTTTCTATCTAGACGCTCTGATACGCGCTCCACACGAAACTAATTATTCCTCCGCAAGGGAATTTTAGGAATGTTTATTTGTTGATGAGACATGAAAGAATTACGGGGATAAAAAATGATGTTTTCTTCATTAAGATGAATATCGAGAAATTAATTTTCTTGACAATGTCAATGTCAGGAAATTATTCTTGGCATTCATTTAAATAAATATTTTTGTTAGTATGAGAATTAGAAAGAATAAGACAAATTCTATTCGAACTCCCACTACCTGTCTCTCTGTCTCCCTCTTTATCTATTATTATCTCACACACACACACACACACACACACACACACACACACACACACACACACACACACATATATATATATATATATTACATATTTCACATATGGGCTTACGAACGAATAACGTTGAAACACTAGTTCTTGTACGATCACTAAAGTTAAGCAACGTTAAGCCTGGTGAGTAGCTAGATGGGTGGCCTCTTGCGAATTCCAGGCGCTGTAATGGATTGGAAAATGCTAGGAATTGTTAATCGCTCAACCGAGTTCCAGTTCCCATTGGGTTCGATTATGCGCGAATATTATTGGGAAAGGCATGAATCCACTTCTTCCCTCAGCTGTTGGTTGATTAGTAAGCGATTAGCTATCTCAAAAAAAAAAATCTTACTATGTAAAAATATTTTCAAAGCCGTGGAAAAGGAATCCATAAAAAACATTTAAAAATAATATTTTTTTAAAAATAGGCGTTTATTTCTTTGGGATATTCACGAGTTCTATAGTTTTTCAAAAGGGATTTTATTTCTTTTATTTATTAATTCATTCACAGTTTTGAATTCTATGATTTTCAATTTCTTTCTCTTCTAAAAATGGATGGCGATTTTGCTTTGTTTTGTTATATAACATTTTACTACTGGCTTTTTTCCTTTAAGTTTTTATTTCCTATATATTTTTTTGACAACATGGTGTTAGTTTTCTGTTATTAGCTTAATAGGTCATAACCACAAATAAATAACAAATATGCAAGAAATAATACACAAAAGTGTTCAATGAAGAGATCAATCATATTCAATTTAAAGAAACTTGCACAGAGATGATCGTTTTTCAGTGTAAAGACTCTTCACACTGAAAAGGATGTTATTCATCATCAAAGAAAAAAAAAAGCAAGAAATATTAACTCCTTCCAAGATGTAAATCTAAACGAATTCATATATTCAAGACGAGATTATAAAAATGGCTAACGTTTCAATATCGTCAAATGCTTTTTAAGAAAAAATACAGAAAAAATAAAAAAGCGTATATGGTGGGCAGGTTGGAATAATTAAACTGAATTCATTTATTCCAAGAAGTAAAATGAAATATACAAATACGAGGTGTTCAATTCCCCAAAATACTAGCTATACGAGAATAGGTGTAGATAGGTTCATCTCTCGCCCGGTTCACTCTACTCCCCGGTATTTTGAACAGGAGTCTAAGTTTATCCCTTGTTTCCTGTTTAGGATTGTGTTTCCGGTACCTTCTAAATTCTACTTTAGAGAAAATAATGACATAATCAAGATGTCGACCCTCCATACGACTTCAAACAAAAGGTTAGGAAGCAAACTGCCATCAATACTGGAAAGAGCGATAACAGCTACTGGACTCGAGGAACTTATTTTTCCGAAAAATCATTTTAAGAGAAAGATTTTATAAATTTCAAAAGGCGGTAGTAAATGTTACTCGGTCAATGAATGCCGAATGTTTCCTAATCTAACCATTACCATTCAAGCATACAGACAGGAATAAGCTTAATGTTTCCGGTACTGGGCCAGAGGAAATGAATTATGCACCTCATGTTACACTTATATAACTTATATTTACAATTTACCGCCCGTTTATATTGAGATGAGCATATTTGATACCCGGAGTATCCTTTGAGGTAAAAACAAAATTTCAAAAGTATAAATAATGAAGTCCCAAGTATAAAATCTGAAAGTTGTCATCTTTTAACAGCAGTCTAATTTCTTACACACACAAAAAAAAAATTCAGTGTTTTTTTTTTCGTGAGTTGTCCTAAAGATAAGCAAAGTATTAAGAAACAGAAGTCGTTAAAGAAAGTCGTTAGGACCAAAGAAAAGTGTACTGACTACTATATGGCAGCAAATGGTGAACAATCTCCTCACAGGAGTGTGGTTTAACGACACGGAAAAGTGAATCGGTGAACAAACAAGTAAAAATATTTGAAGTATCTGGGAAGTGTTTTAAAAGAGGACGGAAAGTGCGTCACCGAAATCTGAAGGCGTATTGGGATAGCAAAAGATGCCTTCGAAAAGCTAAGAACAGTACGAAGAAACAGGAAAACCTCATTCGAAACAAAGAAAAGAATACTGAACTGTTACATGATCAGTCCTCCTATATGGCAGCGAATACTGGACAATCTCGTCACAGATGAAGAAGAGAACTGAAGCAACAGAAATGTGGTTCTAAAAAAGGATGCTGAGGATACCATCGAGCGGACATGTGAGGAATGAGGAAGTTTTAGAAAAAATGAAAACAAAAACGGCACTTATTCTTAACTGGAAGAGAAAATTGAAATTCCCCCGGCACATAATGAAAAATAACGGTTTGGAAAAACTGACACTCAAAGGACAAATTAAAAACAAGCGGAGCGCTGAAAAACAACACATAACTTACTTGAGTAAATGGATGTCGGAACAAGGTTTAGGAGAGATAACAAAAAGACCAAATTTATTGCGGAGAGGAAATTTTAGTGATCGCCTACGTCCTGAACGGACACGGCACAAAAAGAGGAAGAATTGTGGATCGTGAATAAATAATATTTTTGGGGGTTCTGATTGGAACTTAGAAAAGCATCGTTTGATCCAGATTGCTTCGCAGCAAGCAGGGTTCAATTTCCCTTTTTCAACGAAGAGATGTTCTTTCGTTTAAAAACAGGTTTGTTAGCCTTATGTGGGGAGATTGCCCAGCATTATTGCCATATAGGGCGATGGATATCACATAGTAATTAAGCACTCTTAATATCTATCATGAAATTCTTTTTTTTTTTTCATCACTTTGGTTTGCCTGATTCCCCAGCCGAAATAGTAAACAAGTTACATTCTCTATCCATAGTGTATGAGAAAACCACATTTACCTGTATTCTGTTTTTTTCTAGGGAGCTTGCAATATTTTACGGTGCCATTTTAAATATCCCGGAATTGTTTTAACGCACGATTTGAAAATGTGACACCTAAATGCGAAGTTGCAACGAATAGTAAAAAGAAAATGGCTTTCAAAAACTCCGCAAAGTAGTAAGTTTCACTAGAAACAAAGAAAAGCGGACCGAACTGTTATTGTACTGAATACGGTAAAATATCCTCACAGATTTAATTTAATTTTTTACAGTTTATCAACCTTTTGGTTATTTAAAGTCGAAACATATTTTGGATTTTAAGAATAATTCTTTTTTTTGTATTAACAATTACTTTAAAATGATCATCCCTGATACAGATACTACTATTTAACCCATAGCTGGGATAAGAGATGGATTCATACGTTTCCCAAGGGTATTTGCGAGTAAGCGAATAAAATAAACCCAACTGGAATTCGAACTTGGCTCTCTGATCTCTTTCCTTATCCATTGCATCACCCGTACATGCTCAAAGATGAAGAGAAAATTGGAGGCAACAGAAATCTGGTTCTACAGAAAGATGCTGAGAATTCCAGGGATGGAGTGCGAAAACAATGAGGCAATCTGAAGAAAAATGGATACAAAAAGGAAATAATCAGAAAGAAATAGCTGGAAGTTCTTTGACACATAATGAGGAAGGAGGGCTTGGATAATTTGACACACCTAAGGCATATTGAAGAAAAAAAGAGATGGGGGAACCCACCTACTTGACGAGCTTGTGTGAATAGATGGCGGAACGGTGGATGAGCTATGGTAAAAAGACAAACATTACTCAGAACGACATAGAAAGTTGTGGAGAGCTATGATCAACTACGTCCTAAAGAAAAAGGACTCATAGAAGTCGAAGAAGAAGGTTAGTTTAGATTTAACGACACTTCAACCTATGCTGGGTGATTCAATGTCGAATATCCGTTTTCTTGCATCTGAGTTTGCAAATTACAGATGTTTTTAAAAGTAAATTCTTACACGTGTACGTGTGCGCGTGTTCATGTGTATTTGTTTTGGGCGTTTGCATTATAGAGTAAACATGGTTGCCAGCAAGTTTATGTTGTTAGTAATGAGATCTGTAACAAAGTCAAAGTCAAGGATGTCAAGAACAAGCATTTCTTGTAAACAATCAAACATCTACAATTTCTTAACATCTCTAATGCCATTCAATTGCCCCCCCCCTCCATAAAAGGATTCTTATCTCTCTATTTGTGGTTACGACATGATTCAAGCAGAGTACTGCTGGGTACCGATTCCTAAAATGGTATTTATTTCTAAAGGGTGAATTAAGTTTAAGCGTCTAATGATTTGGCGGACATTTGGGTGATATTATTTTCACACATAATTGCCATGACTTAAATAACATGATCTAATAGAGAAATAAATAATTTTTCACCATTAACACTGATTTACTTACTGCTGACTTTGATCCGTCTTAATGAAACCCCCTTTAGTAATGAAGAATTTAAAGGATTACTTAGTAAGCTTGAGTAAATGGATGTGAAAACAAGGTTTAGGAGAGATAACAAAATTTTTAAATTACTAGAACATCGTAAAGCAATCAATAATATAAATTCATATACTTATAAAATAGTTTTCTGACATTCTTGGTCTCTGTAAATCCAGGGCCAAGCGATATTTATTCAACTCGTGATCATAATACTCTCTTAATTCCCATTTCCCTTTTCCTTACAATTTAACTCCGTAAACCTCTAACATGAGTGGCCCTTGAGCCTTGTATTGGGCGAACTATCAGTAAATAAAAAAAAATCTTATAAATCTCTCTGCGCTTTTATTAAATCTACCTGTCTATCTATTTTAATCGAGTTCACCCCAAGCAATTGAATATAACGAACCCAAGCGGAATTGGAACTCGGCTCTCCAAAAAACACCTTCCTTGATATGAAATGGGTAAAAGTTTAAAAACCCCAAACCTTATGTTTAGTTTCAACTAGCGGCATTTGGAGTTTTAAGTTTCCAAATTGCGCATATCGATCAAAGTTTAGTATTTATTAAGGCGGCACTTTTTGGGGTTGTTTATTTGTTTGTTTTTATCCGATGAATTTTATCATCTTTTCGTAAGACGCATTGTACACCGTATCAGATGTGATCGGCCATACCATGTTGACATTTACACACGGGGAAATGCCAATAGATCACTGACAACACTTATTTGTATTCTGACCTTCTCATGTTTTACTCAAGTTGTACGACTTCCTTTTTTTTTCTTTTTTTTGAAACACTTTATATTCATGCTGATTAAGTGGGGATTTTTTTTGTTTTTTTTAATTTATGTTTTCTCAAAGATTTCGTTGGTTGCCCTTTCATTGTAATCACCAGGTGGCATTTCA